TATGTTTCTGTTTACGCATATGTGTTTCTATTTGTACATGTATGTGTACAATTAATGATATATCTCTGTATGCCTACAGTATGTATATATGCGCATCTGCTTCTATATTCATGTCTATGGGATGTATTGATTTCTATATCACATCTCTTCAATTCAACATCTTTTGATATGTAAATATATATATATATGTGTGTGTGTGTGTGTGTGTGTGTGTGTGTGTGTGTGTGTGTGTGTCGATACAGGTATATAGTTTTGCATGTGTACGTGTATGCAAATATTTATACGTGTGCATTTTTTATAGTTTTCCGGTATATCCGTAATCAATGCGAGCTCATATCATGCGCGTAAATATCTTTAGCAACAGCAAAACTGGAGTTTTCGGCTAGATTTTATATTTTATGTATTGTACGATCTAGTCGTTTTGAAGTGTTCGCGGGTAGTCGGCAATTTTTTCCAGGTGCATTATTTTTCTTTCTTCTTTTTCGCTAATCAGCTGTCTTGTTAGTATCTCTAATCAGATAATTACGGTCCAATCATTTTGTCAACGCCAAATGTATTGCAATTCGTATTGAACCAGACGTCATGTTGAGCGCTATTCGATTGTTTTTCCCCACAGACCTTATAGGTGCATTGACATATCTTGTACCTGGCTTTGGAGAGTTAATAGACGTTTTCTGGGCGCCCGTTCAAGCGTACCTGGTATCAAGTAAGTAGCTCCCTGGACGGTATATTCCGTATAACCTTTTTATAGTGTATTGGAGTATACCACTGTTTGGAAGAGCAACTGTATAACAAATTTATCGGTGGTTTCCTGTAAAGAATTGTTCACAAGAATTACTTGCGATTACTTCATTTCTAACCTCTCTTCTGTGGTATGACTCAACAAAACAGCAATGTATGGGTTCGGCCCCCTGACAGCCTTGTCGTTCTTTGAGGAGATCTTACCGGTATGGAATCTTAGTGTTGGCACTTTCTTGTCCTTTAACATTCACCCTATCTCTTTGTATCGTAACGTAGACCATGCAAATAAGGCCCAGCAGACATTCTATGAGTATGCGCACTCACAATTGTAGATTGTACCTCAGCGACAATCACTGGCGTTAAATGGCATTTAGATAATGGTCGTTGAGTAGGAGTTTTTCTTTCCTCTCCCCAATGAGAACTCTGTTTCTAATACCTCCGCGTAGTTTACGACGGGCATTAGCTATATGCACCGACACATTTGTGTACTTTAGATTGTATAGTGGCGTTGTGATTGCAGCCGAGCATGGTCGACCATCCTATCGAAATTCCATATATGGATACTGATCTAAATTTAGAACTTGGAACTTGAATTGAAAGACATTGTGCACACATCTTTAGTCGAACATTACCAGATAACATTGTACTCGTTCCGTGTGTTATCCGGCCGACATGTCTTCTCTACTGAAGGTATACGTTTGGGGCCGTACACTCATCTATAGCCTTGCGAGCAACATTTAGTTATAGTCATAGTCACAGTCTACCAGCATTAGTTCTCGAAGATCTATGACCTGTGCCTCATGAGGGTTTATGACGCTGCTGATGACATCCTATTGTATGTTTTTGTGCAGGGTACCGATTTCATCCCTACCGCTACTATCGGCTGGGTTAGTCAACACACAAATGTGGTGCCCTATTTCAGGTACGCGAGGTTTTAGCACTTGTGTGTATGCCTGCAGATGATTTTCCATATGTTGATATGTGCAAGTGACATGTATGTCATGTGGTAATGTGCAGTGTCTTGGCCTATGTAGGTATTGTGAGCTCCGTTGGGTGGTATGTACATCTAGACAGACGTGCTGTTGATCTGTGCAGGCGCATATCGAATGACGAATCCTCTGTCCTTGATTTCGAAGGGTCACATTCTTATTTTTTGAGCAATAATTCAAAGTTTTACTCTTTCCTACTACACTCACAGCGATCGGATGTCGGCGTCGCAAGGTCGAAGAGGTGCACCATACTCACAGTAGATCTTTAACTTTAAAGTTTTAACGGTAAATGCGCATTATTAAAACACATTGACATTCCAAACCAGTAGTTCGCTACTCATCGGTTATATCTTTGTATGATGAAAAGTTTAGTATAGATCGGCACGTTATTTGGAATAGCAGACACGGATGTAATGACATCAACCGACTCTGATAGTGTCACAGACTTCCTCTCCTAAATCGGACGATAGGATAGAGCCATTGAATAGCGTATTCAGTGACTGTATTTATCTAAACATTCGATGTGCATTAGATCGCTCGCGGTGCTCTCAAATGTCTAAATTTGGTATTTGCTCATGTATTGTGGGCTTCCTTCGACTCAGTTGTCTTTTGAGCTCTTGTTATAAACCTTAAGATTGGTCCAGAATGCGTTTTGTGCGTGCCTGCAGCTTCGGTATGCCATGTGCATACCATACCGCCTGGATTTAATGGAGGAATATACATCGCAGGAAGTACCCCTGTCCTTTATTATATGCGATTTGGCGCTTCATGCCTGTCTGCCCTGCTTATACACCCACTCGTCCCAATTGCAGAGACGTCTCTAAATTACCAGTGTGCGTGTTCGCACTCTTGTGGACATACATAGACTCCGTCACGTAAGGGCATGAACTCCTAAACGTTTGCTTATCTCGTCCATGCCGTTGGTATAAGGCACTATCGATGTGCGCAGGCCTACCTTTACCTGTACCATGGTATCTAAGACTCGCGTTGTAGTAGCCGCGGGTTCACATCCGTTCAAGCACTCCTGTTTCTTTAACACGTGCGGTTGACCGGCTACTCGATCGCAGCTCTGCGCATTCGTGTATGCATGTCCAGCATAGCACCTCCATTTCTGCCGCAGTTGGTGTAAAATCAGACTGGACATTACAATAGAACATGAAGTCCATCTCTGCTTTTGGGTATTACTTCCAATCACACACCCCAATTCATCAGAGGATACGTGCCAAAACCCACCTAGCCTTCACTGCAGCCCAGGTGGAATTGGATTGATCTGAATCCGTCCATTTGAGGTGTTGCATAAACGCTTGTCTCGGTGCAACAACTCAGGAGCCAACGTAGCAACGCGTTATCCAAGTACCACACCTAATTCTGCGCATTTTGGACCTTCCACCTGCCAGAAGTACATCACCACGGTGCAATCGGGTGTTTGCAATGGTGCGATGATCTTGTTCACTGCCCATTGCCTTCGTGATCATGGCGGAACCCGCCACGCTTATCAGCTGGCCATACGTCTGCGCGAGTCCCATACTGCCCTGCTAATCTGGCGCAAACTAGCTCGCATTCGCTTTGTCCACGCTACATCGGTTGATTCGGTTTTTAAAGCCCAACACCTGCCGTTGGCTTTGCCGGAGATATGACCTACGGGTGTTGTGAGGTGCTCGCAACTCTCTTCCACAGCAGCATAGCGCCTGTCCACTGTGCAGTCGTAGCGGTTATGAGCAAGGTCAGACAATACTGTGAGGTGCGCATCTTGCCTGTGCTGTTATGTTGTACTTCAGATCGGATTGATTGCCAGTCGGGGGCACTTTTTCATTCGCCTGAGATCCTCCGAGCCTACTTGCCATCGTGGCGTTTCCTCAGGCCCGACACCTCGACTCCACCACTCAGTGTAGAACCAATCATGAATACAACACTGTAACAGTGCGACTGTAGGGTGTACAAACTATGCACACTCACCGAGCAACAGCCGCTGAGTGACGTGACTATAAAGCCCGTCGAACTTGCTATCACGTATCTCGCTATAGCGTTGGTTTGAGACTCTACAGCGGTCCACGAAGCCCCGCGTTTAGGCGCACCAGCCGTACTTCGTGACTCGCACTGCGTCACGTATACTTCAAATGTACTCAATCGATTATACTTCGAAGCCAACACTCAGGGCAATCACGCATCCAATGCCGCAACAGTATGACAGCGGGATGCAGACTGTTCGCAGACGCACCGAACGAGAATCCGCTGTGATGTGACTACACAGTCAGCCGATTTGCTATCAACACATGCACTACATGTTATAGCCTTATCACTCGACTCCGTGGCGGTATTTCAAAGTCACGACTAGGGCGCGCTAAAAAAAAAGTCGTATTGCACACTAATATGCCATCGTGGCAACTAAGACAGATACACTCGTAGCTACCACTCAGTGCAAATAGAAGTTATGAATCCAGCACTGGAATAGCGTGACTGCGGGGTGCAGACTCTTCGCAGACGCACTGAACGAGAATCCGCTGCGCGACGTGACTACAAAGTCAGCCGAGCTCGCTATCAACCAATCGGCCATAGCCTTGATATCAGACTCCATATCGGTATCCACGGCCACATGTTTTGGCGCACCAGCGGTGTTGAATACTAAGACATTCGATTGCTTGCTTTCTTGGTCCTTCGACGTGTTGTGCTGTGTCTGTGTTGTCTTGTCATCCGGCATCCACTTGCCGCCTTTGCCGAAGTCTTTTAAGTGTTTAGTTACAAAGATTGGGATGGAAAGATAAGAAAAATGAACTGTTGCAATGTACTCATTTGTAGAAGTCGTGAATTTTACACGTTTCGTAGTTCCTCTTCTTTTGCCTATCCATGCTACCCACACTAGCTTTTGTGCGTTGGTTGTATGCGTAAAAAAAATACAGAACCTGCACTGCGCTGTGCAAACGAGGGCTTCTTATTTTTGCTGCTATTGCCTGTTTCAGCAAAACTTAAACCGTAACGTGGGAAGTCAGAATGGGTGTGTGTTGAACAGAACCGCTATTGGAATCCGACTGATTGAACAACTCTCTGACTCAAGCCTGTCCCGCTCTTCTGTAATTGTTCCTTGCCGGCGCTGTTGTATCCGTCTAGCACTGGAAAAGCGGGAGTCCGCTTAATTCACTGCCTAATATAGCTATTTTATATTTTAATAAAACCCTTCCCCTCTCTAATTTAAGCCAGCTCTGGCAGACGTGTATATCAATACCTTTGTCGGTGAACTTCTTTGCCGCAATCGGGTTCCACACCGCGCTTCGGGCGTGCTTCTCAAGGAAATAGTCCTTGATTAACTTGACCCCCCGCGATGAATCGGCCAAAGTGAACACGGCTATGTCTAATGCTCCATCTGAACTAGAGTCAAAGGCCTTGAATTCCGTTGTCGAGTCGCTGATCACAGTATCCCTCTTGTCCACTCTGTGTTGTGCAGTATAAACGTTGCGACAGTCTTGAGCAACGTACACTGTTGAGGAGTCGTTAGAACGCGATGTGCGAGAGAATACAGTCAAATCCTCACTACCTATATCGAATTTGCATGCCAATATGGCCGCTCACATATATTCGCTGGGAACTATGCTTCCTGGGGGCGATGGGCCTGCATATCTTTACACACCCATACATATGCGAACATGGTTTTGCGGATACACTAACTCACACACGCGTCCAGAAAGGTTCTCACCAAATTCAAACGACACGGACAGATTGCTTACATGGTTTTTCCCCGCAGTGTTTGCTCGACAAAATTCCAGCCGCAAACGCAATAAGGGTCTACCCCACTGCGATCAACTTTGACTCGCCTGTCAGCGGGTCCCGGGATGAACTCGCTAATATCCTACTAGCAGACAAGCATAGACCGGAAGGCCGAGAGTGTAGCATTCACTAGTTGAGTTAAGATTGGCATTTGTTGTTGTCTGGCTTCAGGTGTATGCAGGCTATTGGAGAGATAGGCTCAAACAGCGTATCACCATCAACATGATTCGTCTACTAACTTGTAGCAAACGCCCTATAAGGTCACTACACAAAAACCACAATATAAACGAACCAGAAACCCCTATCACGCGCACCTTACCTTATCCATCAAAGCATCGCCAAATCGAATGTGCACAGCAACACTCACGTCAGCTCGCGTCATAATCTCCATAGGTTCCGCAACGTGCTTGTACATCTTTTGAGTCGGGCGTTCGAACAGTGTACGTAGTAAGCATCCGTAGGTGAACACATACCTATAGTCATCCTGTTTAGTGAGTGTACAATACACCGAGGGAAGATTCAAACAGCCGATTTAGTACCACGACTGTTCGTTCACGTTGTCAGGGAGATTAGATGGAATATACACCAGCGAAACAAACACCCTCTCGCAGAGTACGAACTGATTCCGATCGATTCTGATGAAGCGTTGGGTTTGGCTGGCTTGACAAACGAGTATAGGAAATAGAAGCGCTGTGCATAGACCGAGCGAGGTGGGGTGTTCAGGTAATCCCCAACAAGCTACAAGACTCAGGGGAGTACTACCCTCACCCATTATCAAAGTACAGTGCCACATATACGGTCGAATGAGAACCACCGTTGTTTTCACCTGCAGTGCATAAATATTCAATAGTGAGCGCGTCTCACGCAACTGACCTTACTGACACTCATGCTGACTCTCGGCTCTCCATAGAAGGCCAACATGAATCTGTATTCACTGGAGCGATGAAAGTGGACGATACAAAAGAACCGACGTCAGCATACGACATGGTTGTCACGCTTCTATACGCATAACCATTCTCATGTGGTGCTACCTCGCAACAGCAAACAACAAAGAAACGTATACAAAAGGGCGTTTCATTGTTTTGCGGCTGTTCGAGGACCGGAAAGATCAGCTACTCAGTGTGATCGCCACACGATTACTCGCGTACGTACAAAGACTGGGGCATGTCTATGCCTACACTCGATGAAGAACAACAAGAACTAGACAAGAACTTTTGGTTTAACAAAGTTCTTAAGGTACCACATCCCACAATTACCTCCTCTAGAAAGAAAAAAGTCGATCGCAAAAGCAAGATTTTCTATGTACCTGAGAACATTGTATGATGTGATGACCAGCGCCGGTGGTAGCAGGACACCCTCATTCAGTGTGATATCTCGATGAAACAATCCCAAATGGAGCCAGAAAAAATCGAGCCAACTAGACAGAGGAAAAGTCTGGCCGAATGCCGTGTCACCTTTGCTTTCATCCGTGAAGCGTATGAGTGGCGATTCGGACTTTTTCAATTTTGGGGCGCCTGCGTTTGAGCATTATACGGACATTGAGCACACAGCACATTTTGGCGATGAATAAACAGGTAAGACGGTGATGCAGTATTCAATTCAACCCCATCTTGTTGATTCTTGGTGCATTAAAATTAGGCTCAAATACGTATCAAAACTCGAGTGCAGTTCGCACAACTCGATGGATACGCACGTCTCCATTTCAGCCCACATACAAGACAACGGTCTGTTTGTGACAGGTGCTATGCACAAATTACATGCTTTCGTTGTTGTGTGCAAGATTAGGCTTCGTTCCACGGCATTGTGTGTAACTAGCATCAGACAAACAACACACAGCTACAGAACGCATAACACACAAAGACCTGTTGGGATATTCACTAATAACTGAGGTGGTATCCTTCAGATCTTTATAATTTCAATAGGCTCAAATAAACAATCCTACATCATCTCGAAACATTTGCTTAGCACGAACTGTTCCTATTCTGGTGCATCAACACACACTATATCACCAATTAATTTGCACTGTACCACACTACCCGCTGACACCCTCTGATCACACAGTACGCATACCGTTCATTGCACACTCGGCAACGGCTCCAACAAAGCCCCATTCCAACTGCGAACTTTCGAGGAAATCATACACGTGTGGTTTGCCAGTGTTGATAAATAACGCCCTCCGCGTCTGTACAGCGTAGAACAACGCCCCGACCGCAGCATTCGACAGGTCGCCGAAGCCATGGCAGTCGAGCTCACCCTCTAACCCGCATGAGATGACCATGAAACCTGGCATAGTAGTCTCGTCGCGCATCCACCATGCGTGTAGCTTGTTGACTTGCTTGCCCGCTTGCTCTCTGGATCACCCGATAAATTCGAACCGTTAGTTTCGTTGGCCGGGTTTTTGTTTGCGCAGCGAGTGTGAGAGTGTTCGGCGAGACGGTAAGCATCATTACGGCGAATAACTAAAACAGAGATATGACCATAATGCACTATACATGCGTTCACAGTAGTACACGGGATGACGGCCTCGTAGCTAAGGAGTGCTATCTTTGTGTTTGATTTAAGCTACCGAAATCAAATCAATGCACACCCGTGGGCCAGTATTGGATATATTCCAACACCAGCGGGAGAAAAAAACAAATGATCATAACAGATACAGCACATATCTGAATAAGGATAAGAAAAGAAAAAATGTATAAATAAACGTATATGTATATATATATATATATAT